TTTGAAATCGATGACCCGAAGTCCGCGTCCTCCCCTTGTGAGATTCAAATGCTTAAAAATAATCAGCAAATTATAAAAGGAAAACTAGCCTCACCCAGTCCCTTTATTGATGAAAACGGTCTCATACGTCTTGGAGGCAGATTGAAACATTCAGAATTTAATATAGATAAGAAGCACCCTATCGTTCTGTCTGCTGATCATCAGTTTACTAAAATGCTCTTTACAAGTGAACACTTACGGCTACTTCATGCCGAACCACAGTTACTCTTATACACTATACGCGAACGTTTTTGGCCGATTGGAGGCAGAAATTTAGCGAGAAAAATCTTTTGTAATTGCATTAAATGTTTTAGGAATAATCCCCAACAATTCCAAACACTAATGGGTGAACTACCCAAATGTTGCGTAACCTTGACAGCACCATTTCATATCACTGATGTGGATTATGCTGGTCCCCTTATAATAAAGGATAGAAAAGGGAGGGGGTGTAAAACAACTAAAGCATACGTATCCTTGTTTATTTGTTTTGCAACAAAGGCAATACATCTTGAATTAGTATCCGATTTAACATCAGAAGCCTTTATTGCTGCACTCAGACGCTTTTCATCAAGAGCGGAAGGCCCGCGCACATATATTCTGATAACGGAACTAATTTTGTCGGAACTAATAGAGAATTGAAGGATCTAGCTCAACTTTTTAAAAATGAAGCTAAAATTATAGAAGAACAAGCTGAGGTGAACTAGGTATCACATGGCATTTTATTCCAGCCTACTCACCACATTTTGGTGGTTTGTGGGAGGTTGGAGTAAAATCAACTAAATATCATTTGCGTTGAATAGCAGGTAATTCGGTTTTAATATTCGAAGAGCTTTATACCTTCCTTACGCAAATCGAAAGATTACTGAACTCACGACCACTGACCCCAATTTTCTCAGATCCCAACGATCTAACTCCCCTAACACCTGCTCACTTCTTGATCGGTCGGACACTCACGTCGATAGCCGATCTCACACTAATGCATCTCTCAGAATCAAGGTTGTCCAGATGGCAATTAGTCCAAAGGCTCCAACAACATTTTTGAAAACGCTGGAGCAAGGAGTACATATCGGAGTTATAACTACGCCCAAAGAAACCAAAAGCCATCAGTTCAATTAAGGAAGGCATGATGGTCATAATAAAGAAGGAAAACCTTCCCCCTTTCAAGTGGAGACTTGGCCGTATCATCACCATTCATCCAGGCAAGGATGAAGTGGCAAGAGTCGCCACAGTAAAAACCGGATCAGGAACTATCAAGATTACAACCGCCAAACTTTATCCGTTACCACAAGAAGACTGAATTTTATTAATGTTAAAGGAACTATTTACTAAGCGTTATTATACTCATTCTTGCGTTTCTGTATTGTTTTTAACATAACTTCGATTTTCAATTAATTTAATGACCTTTTTGTTCATACGTTATCCTCTGATAATTCAATAGTAATTTTATTTTTTTTACGACTCTGTAGTTCTTTAGTTGAAAGTGCCTTTCAACGTCGGGGGGTATGTTTATGATTTGTAATTGGCACCGTAGAGTAGCACTTTGATTCTTTGCGAGTAGCGCCCCTCTCTTTGACGAGTTTCCGGCCGACGGGCGGGATTAGAGCAGATAGCGTCTAACTAAGAAGACGAACACACGTATTGTAAGGCAACGCAATAAAAAAGTTGAAATCCAGCAAAGATTACAGTCCACATTCATTTAAAGTAACCATTTACTCAACACTCGTTAATTTTAAAAGTTCGTTTCAGTTTGATCAATATATTACTACAATATTCAGAATTGTTGTCTATAATCGAAAAATCATCAACATAAACTGAAATAGCAATAAGTGCCTCTTGACTTTGCAATATGAATATGCAATTTTCTGTGGTCAACGGTTTGAAACCGACTTGAATTAGCGTTTTGAATTTTAAAAACCAATTGCGCTCCGATTGAGGGAGCTTATATATACTCCTTTTAAGTTTAAGAACTTTATCTTTTCCGTATTTTTCTTCAAATCCTGGAGGCAATGACAAATAGACCGTTTCCGATAAATCACTGTATAGATATGCTGTTTTGACATCAAATAATCGCAGATTTAGTTTTAGTTTACTAGCTAACGCTATAAGCAGACGCTATGCGTCTATGGATACTACCGGTGAGTAAGATTCTTCATAATCTTTATTTTTAACGTAATTATACCCTGCTGCTACTAATCTGGCTTTGAATTTGATACCTTCATTCTCTTTGGCATTTTTGACAGTTAGTACTCATTTACTTTTTGTAATTTTTCCCTTATATGATTTGTCTACTATATCCCATACCGAGTGCTTATCAAATGACTTTAACTCCTTCTCTTATAGCTTTTTCCCAATCTGGCCAGTTTTGACTAATTTTTGCTTCATCATAACTTGACGGCGTCTTAATTTGTTCTACTGAACTTCCTTCCTTTTCTCGCAATCTTTCAGACCTTCGAACATGTTCTTGATTCGCATTATCACTCCGTAAATATTCTCTCGCTTCTATAACCGCTCGGGTCGTACCTCGAGACCTTCCGCGGGGTCTACGTTCTACTTCTATGATTTCCTCATTTTCTTCATCAACTGTTCCATTATCTACGTTCGCATTTATTTCATTATCATCCTGATCCTCAGTCATGCCTTGCTCCGGTTCTAAATATGTTAATAAATAGTTCTAAATATGTTAATAAATAGAAATATTAGACAAGGAAATGTCTTATAGTAAAAGGCTTATTTCCGAGATGTTGCACATAAAACGGCAAAAAACGAGTCTTAATAAGCAGAACGATACTGAGTTACTGCCAAACTTGTATTTGCCAGTTCTCAATTTATTTACTGCTTAAAGATCACTCACTCTCTCCCACCACGTTTCTCCTTCACACACGAATTCTCTATTATATCCTCTATCATATCTTCAACTAGTTTGCCATGTCCACTCAAACGATACGGACCACCAAATATCATTTAAAGCAAACTGACTCGGTACACCGAATTTGGTTTTAGTTTTTAGTATTTTAAAATAAGAAAGTTAAATACACGAAAACACAACATGATGTTACTGCTATGCATTGAGGTAAGAATTATTTTAATAAATAACAAGTACAATATAAAGATAAAAGTAGACATTAATTCATACTGTTTTTTAGAATAATTGAAAATACAATCAACCACAATGTCTCAAGTCTTAAAAGTACATCGCGTATGTTAATAATGTAAAACACGACATCGTTTCCTTCCTGATAATTTAAGGATTGCTGTTTATTAGAAGGGGCATAACTTTCAAGAGACGTTTTCCATCTAAACAATTTTAAAAGTAACGAATGTAAGAATATTTCATTGTAATATGTTCCGAATTTTAGTTTTAAAAGTAACGAATGTAAGAAAATTTATTGTAATATGCTCCGAATTTTATAATTAATGTAAGAACTAACTACTGAAGATGACCACAACCAAATGGTCGAAACATTTAGATCCTTATAATTTGTTATAATTGACCTAAACAATGGTTGTTATAATATGTAAATAAACTAAGCACGTAAATCCAGCTTGGGCTCTATAGCTTGTTTTTATTAATTTATTTGAATAATTTGAGCCAAATTTGTAATTTTTAAGTTATTTAATAAATAGTATTTGTTACTATTCTTGTCATTTTTATCGATAAGTTTCGCGCCCGAATCATTTTCATTAAAATTTACGGATCTTTCTTCCAAGATCTCACCTGTCTCTGGCACATAAATTCTGTAACCACGTCTTTCTCGCGCATAACCTACCATTATTCCTATCTTACCAGGCAAGTTTAATTTATCGCGTTTCTGCTTAGGCACATGATAATAAGCTATACATCCGAATACACGAAGATAGTTGATATTTGGTTTCATTCCGAAAAATAACTCGAACGGCGTTTTATTTTTATTGTTACGAAAAGTTACGTTAGTGGCGTGACTAGCGCATGCTGCGGCTTCTGACCAAAACATATTTGATAACTTACTATCACATAAAAGAGTTTTAGCACGTTCTAAAATTGTTCGATTAGCTCTTTCGGCTTTGCCATTGCTTTCAGGATTATACGGTACAGTTTTCTCGTGAATTATTCCGTTTCTTTCTAAAAATTCATCAAGTTTCCGATTTATGAATTCTCGACCATTGTTTGTTCTAAAACGTTTAATTCTTACACCAAGTAGATTTTCGTATTTTTCTTTGAATGAAACAAATTTTTCGTGGACTTTATTTTTGTACTTCAAAAAATACATGAAATACATACCAAAGAAATCATTTATCAGTACAAGCATATACCGAAAATCATTCAGTGATTCAGTCGCGGTATAGGCCCACATAGATCGCCATGAATTAATTCAAGTGGCTGTTTACTTTGATCTTTTGTCACTATATTGTACGGCTTTTTAGCCAGAAATTTCAGATGTTTATTAATTAACTCACCGGTCAAGACTGCGTTATCTTCCTGGTCCATTATGACAATTATATGGTTTTGTTGTATTATTTTATAATCTTTTATCATAAGTGTCGTTGTAGACAGTAAATTTTCTTTAAGCTGCGGTACGTACAAAACATTGTTCATTACAATGACAATTTTTTTATTATTTTTGTTTCTCGTTTCGATTTCGACAGTACCTATTCTTTCATAACGCAATCTTGATTCAGCTCCCGCCTGACAGAGTTCACCATCCTGAAAATCGATATCAGAGAACCATTTAAGATTATTTACCATATGATTAATCGCATCGCTATCAAATAACTAATTTTCATTGAAATTACCTTCTAACTCAGAATTACAAAGTGTAAATACGTATTTTTTATCGTTACCATTTACAGGTTTTTCTATGTTATTAGCGGATCTTCCTCTCTGTATTTCCTCGGCTCGTATCAGTGTCCTTCTTTCCGTCTCGTCTGTTGTTATTATTGGTAGCTTTGTGATGATCGTTTGTAGTGTTTACGGTTGATCTGTGTTACGGTGTTACGGTGATGATCTCCTTGTAGTGTTTACGGTTCCAACATATCTTTGCAATATGGCCGCTTTTACCGCAGATATAGCATCTCTTGTCATTCTTCTTTTGAATAGTATATGCCCCTTCCGTTTCCCTAAGATAGCTTCCTCGGCGTTGGGATTCTTTCTCATGTTCCTTGAGTATCTTGTGAACTTCCTCCATGGACTTTTCCCGTTGTGTTTTCAGTATTTCGCGGATATCTTCGTAATGATTGTTTATTCCACGTACTGTGTAATATACTAATTCTCGTGGCGTTATATTCAAGCCCAACGATGCACATTTCGTAAATAGACCGCGCGCACGTGTAATATAGTTGCTTACTGTTTTTTTGTCTTCCATACGGAGAAATTTCAAGTCGTTGCTCGCGTCGATCTTTTGGTCCTCTGCCGCTCCTGCGTAGGCATTTTTAATTTTGAGCCACAGTAACCTCGCTTCAATTTCGGTTGCAAACTGCAGTGCTTGTTCGTCCAATAAATGTAAGCGTATATATGCCACTGCTTCTTTGTTCTTCGTTTCCCATTCGATCCTTGTTTTCTGTTCGGCATTTTCTGCTAGCTTCTCTTTATTTATTATTTTATCCAGCTTTTTTAAGCTCAGAATAGCTTCCATTTTCATTGCCCAGACTAGATAATTAGATCTTGTTAATAATGATACTGCTGGCAATGCGTTTCTTTCCATATTGAACGTAATAGATAATGGTCTATAGAGTATATATTACTTTCTTCTTCCGTAAGTTCATAAATCACGCTCTGCTACCAGATTGTTGTAATATAGTTTATTTATTGAACGTAACTGTAGCGGCATACCGCTACACCGCTGCACCGAAGCGGTGTAGTACACCGCGGCGCCGCTACGCACCGCAGGCCCTCAGCCAATCTCTAAACCTACGGCTACACCGCCAGGTAGCGCAGGCGGTGTAAGACTTTCTCGCGATCAAGAATCGATCGACGCGCTATAAAAGAGCGTCGACTCGATCTCTCCTCACTCACTCGCTTCAAGGCGAGCTCTTCACTAGAGCCCTTGAACGGAGTAATAGCTCTTTTACAAAAGAGCGTAACCAGGGATTAGTTTCCTCTGCTTTTTCACAGTGCCTAAAAAGGCACGGAAGTGAAAAACTAAGTCCCAGCTTCGGCCGCACATTTCATCCAAGCGGCCCGCTGTCACTCCAGCATCGCCGTCGCCATCACAGACTCTATCGTGGACGTAATTCCACTAGAGTTCTGTGTGCGATTGACTCGGCCTCCACGGGACACTCTCGTACCAGGAGACGTTCGAGCACGGAGACCTCTCTCTCCTCGGTTCGCAGAACAATCTGCAATACCGAGAGCCGAGACGGTCGCAGCAAAAGGCACGCCGAAGACACGCTCCATTGCGATTCAAACTTCGCTGCCTAGGGCTTGCTCGGAAAGCAGTTGCCACACTGAGGATCACTTTCCGAACGGAGTACCTCCTACACCAGGCAAAGGGTTGCAGCGAGCATCTTCGATAGAGCCGTCCTTTTTAGGAAAAGTTTAATACACTAAGACGCGGCCGGGAATCTCTTACCGCGCGCGTCAACTTTTGTTCTGAAACTCACGGCCTTACACATTGCCGTGAGCGCGCCTCAGTGATGCGATCTTTCCCACAGCGGTCCCGGCTCCGCTGCCTCACGCAACTTTACAGAAGCGCTACGTCACGTATCCGTGTGAGCTCGGCCGTTCAACCAATGGAAGAGAGCGAACGTCTCCCTTCCACCGAGCCGACACAACAGACGATAAATGCATGCTACTTGCATGGTAAAAGCAAGCGTTTCTGATTCAGAAAAGAAATTCTGAGGCGAGTGGCTGGAAAAATTAGAGATCACCTGTTCGAGACCTGCTTCGTGCAACTTTTTTTTCTTTTTTCCGCATTTGTTTCTAACATAGTAAATTATTAGATAATATTTTTTTGCCCAAAAAAATAATATTTTCTATTTATTATTAATATTCGCATATATTAAACTAACAATTTTAGAAATAATACAGATCTGCTATATGAATAGAAAAATAGAAAAATGAAGTTATTTTACAATGTTGCAACAAAGTGCTAATTTAACATATGCGAATATTTTTAATAAAGATAAAATAATTTCTTTTAGCCAAAAACATTATCTAATAATTTACTTAAAATAAATATCGAAAAAGGAAAAAAAGTTACAAAATCACAGTTTTCAAACACGAGATTTTTAATATTCTTGCCATTCACCTTACTCGTTTAGCCATGCTTGCTATTTTACATTTATCAACATGAAAGATTACACGCCTGCAAAGCTTTTAATTATTTATTTTAAACTACTGCATATTAGCAAGAGTTACTGCAGTAACTACATATACATGTACTGTGGAGATTAATGGAAGAACACAGTAGCATATTAAAAATGCAGTCAAATAGATGTAAGATTATACAAGTAATTTTATTAGTACTATTAATAAGTAGTGGTCTTTCGCACCACCTTTGAGGTTTCACTTATGGCGCGTTCGACTTTTTTTTAAGTGGATCGTCGCCTGGAGCCTTATTGTACCACTTTTTTACACTTGTTATTTACAGATTAAAATAATTTACAGTAGTTAACACTGTATTTTTGTATCTATATACTTACTGTATTTTGTATACTCACTGTACTTGTACTTTTGCGCGTTGCGTTTATATTGGCAAATTGGGAAAATTACTTTATAATTTTCTATAAATAAAAAAGATATTTTGTATTTATTATGCCTGCAATGCTATCAAGAGTAATGAGAAATACAAGGTGTCCCATTTTAAACGATCCACTCAAATATCTCAGAAACACCGAGTTAAATAAAAAAATTTTAAATTAAAAGTTGTAGGGTTTGGAGAGGGAAAAAATATAGGGATATTAGTTTGACCTTGGATGGAGGCGCTTCTGAGATTTAAAGGTCATCTTTATTTTTTCAAATGGAAGAACACTAATTTTTTTATATAAATCGATTTCTTGTAATATTTGTCGTAAAAAGTTATAAGACTAGGATGGCCAAAAATTGAATGGTTTACAAGATATTTTATATTTTAATTTGACATAATTTTACATAAACTATGAAATATCTCGTTAAATATTCATTTTTCAATTATCTTACTTCAACACTTTTATGCACAAAATAATGAGAGAAACAAACAAACGATGCTTGCGCTTGTTTCCTCGACTGAAATTTCGTTGCAAGGCTGCAATATAATGTCCGAGAAAACATAAGCGTATACAAGGTGTCAAATAAATACAAACTAAATATGACAAAATAATAAATGAAAAATATACATATAATACTATATATATCACTGAAGAAAAATGTCATATACTTTTCTTATTTTTATCCTTATGTAGTAAATACTAAATAACTAATTAATCAATTAATTAATATATACATATACACATATATTCAATAAATAGTTATCTTTATTTTGTATTTTTATATGATAATGACTGAAATAATGGAAGTATATATCATTTCAGTTTATATAAAATACAAAATAAAGATAACTATATTCAATATGTATATGTATGTATTCAATAATTAATCGTATAACTTCGTATAATGTATG